TTCAAGTTTCTCTTTTGCAGTAAATGATCTAGATTACTTAATGGTTCTGTTTTACATGTTTTAATCATTTATTTGAACCATCTCCAGATGTAGTACACACAGATATATTGTCTAGGAAAATTTGTTACTGAAATTCCTTACCATCTTTGGTTCATTAGCTCAAATGTTTAAAACCCATTGTGTCTATTTTTATTATTTAGTTAGTTATTTTGGCAAGACAGGGTCTCACTATTTTGTCCAGGCTAGAGTGCAGTGGCACAATTATAACTCATTGCAGGCTCAAACTCCTGGGCTCAAGCAATCCTCCAGCCTAAGCCTCCCCAAAACTCATTATTCCTAAGAGCAAAGTTGAGTTCCATCATATTGTCAGTTGGTTTCTCTCCATCATATTGCCAGAACCATCTAATTCTCAGATGCATAGTTTAGGACAAGCCAAACCAGAAGAGACCATAGGTCATTCATTCATTCAACATTTACTAAGTGACTGCTGTATGCCAGAGGCTGGGCTGTGCTGTAAGATCACAAAGAAGATATTTCTCAGTTGAAAGAGCTTGCGGCTTGGGAGAGAAGACACAGAAGCAAACAAATCATTACAAATGCCTTTCCATTGAGTGCCATACTTGAAATGAGCAGGTGAGGCCAGGGTACCCTTGGGGCAGAAGGGAGGGAGGATTAAGCTCAGGGAACAGCTTTACAGAGAAGGTGACATTTGCACCATATTAAAGGATGGCAAGAATTGAGGAGTACAAAAAGGAGTATAGTCAAAGAAGAAGCACCCAGGGATGATTTGCACATTGTAAATTTAGGTAACCTTACATGGGCCTGCCGTGACCGAGGCCCAGGGTCAAGGAAGGGAGCAGAGTCATAAAGCTACCCAGGTCAGCCAAGGCCAGGCTAGGAAACCTGAGCATTATCGTGCGGGCATGCAGAACCAGAGAAGGGTGCAAGAAGAGACATGGCACAGTCTGATCTGTTTTGCACAAATCACTCTGGAAGCAATGAAGATGGGAGAGTGGAGGTATTTGAGCTTAGAGTCAGGAAGGAGAAGTAGGATGCCGGGGTTGTGAGGAAAGACTATAAAACCCACACAAAGGAGGACTGATGGAAAGATGGAAATCAAATTCAGGTATATTTAGGCCAGGTGCAGTGGCTCACGCCTGTAATCCCCGCACTTTGGGAGGCCGAGGCAGGCGGATTACCTGAGCTCAGGAGTTCGCAACCAGCTGGGCAACACGGTGAAACCCCATCTCTACTAAAATACAAAAAATTAGCCGGGCATGGCGGTGTGTGCCTGTAGTCCCAGCTACTCGGGAGGCTGAGGCAGGAGAATTGCCTGAACCCCAGGAAGCAGAGGTTGCAGTGAGCCGAGATTGCACCACTGCACTCCAGCCTGGGCGACAGAGCGAGATTCCATTTAAAAAAAAAAAAAAAATCAGGTATATTTAAAAGATAGTGTTTAGAGACCCATTAGTGGAAGATGCCAGATTTGAGAAAGGGAAGGAAAAGACACGGAGGAGTCCAGAAGAAATTTCCAGATTTCTGGCGTGGATAACTATGAGGGCAGTGGTGCCAGATAGTGCCAGAATGAAACTCATATAGGCTGGCACAAATCCACCTCTCAGAAATGCACCTCAGAGACACCCGTTCTGCTGAAGGTCAGTAGAGAAGGCCAACTTCATGTGCAAAGAGCAGTATGTGTATTTCTTACTAGCTATTCTTTTTAAAATACTTCTTAGTGTATGGGACATACATGAGCTAAGATAGTATTCATGCAGGAGTTTTCATTTTTCATATTCTGGCAATTGTGTTTTCAAATATGAGATGCTAGCATTATTTCCGTTATCTTTGCCTAACATAGTATATATCTACGGTTCAAGATTATTAATTGTCTCCCCTGCCTCCCCACTAGAAGGTAAGCTTTGTGAAGCCAGGGATTTTGTCTCTTTTGTCCTCATCTCCATTCCCAGCCCCTAAAACTAAGTTTGACTCCCAATAGGTGCTAAATACTTACCGAGTAAATGATTGAATTTCCATGTGGGTAAAAAGAAACAGTCATTTCCTTTACTAATGAGGAAAGAAAAGGAAAACAACAAACAAACCTGGACTTAAAACAGTTTTTACAAAAAGATCCAATTTGCAAAAATGGAACTGAAGTTTAAAAGCTATTTTTCTCCCTGCAGCCCTGCTTCTGGGAAAATCACAACTGCCAGCTTAGATGGTGGTTTCCACTGCCCGGTTACAAATTCTGCACGGTTGTACATATTGGCAGGACTCAGCTTCCTTAAATGCCATTTGATCAGTAGGGAAATGGTGATTTTCCTTATTGATTTAATGCCAGTTCCTCTTTTATTAAAAATCCCACGTGCTGCTCGCTGGCACATGTACCATAAAAACTGAACGTAGCGGGCCAGAAATTAAGCAAGTCACTCCTGTTCTTCTCCAGCCATGTGATGTTAAACCATCTCTACTTTCAGGCTGGAGTGTTCAATCACTCTTCCTTTAAATTTAGCGCAGTGATTATTCCTCCTGGTGGATTGCACATATGCTCCTTAGATCTACGAAATACTCATTCCTGGATGAACTTTAAGCTCCCAAGAAATGCATGTAAAATACTGTTTATAAATCGCGGGAGAAATGTTTCACATTCTCATTACTCCCAAGTAGTCACACCAAACCTTTCTCTCCAAGATTCGCTTTTTTTCCTAGAAGAGGGAAGAAGAACTTTGGGCAGTAGCACTGTGACAGTAATCACCACCATCGTACTTTCCATGGGTTTTATGCAGTAGCCTCACAGAAGTGACAAATGTATGGTTGGGCGCAGTGGCTCACGCCTGTAATCCCAGCACTTTGGGAGGCTGAAGTGGGAGGATCAACTGAGGTCAGCAGTTCGAGACCACCCTGGCCAACATGGTGAAACCCCATCTCTACTAAAAATACAAAAAATTAGTCGGGCGTGGTGTTGGGCGCCTGCAATCCTACCTACTCGGGAGGCTGAGGCAGGAGAATCACTTGAACCCAGGAAGTGGAGGTTGCAGTGAGCCAAGATTACACCACTACACTCTAGCCTGGGCAACAGAACGAGACTCCGTCTCAAAAAAAAAAAAAAAAAGTGACAATGTAGGATACCCTTTCATCGGCAAATATTTACTGTGAGTAGAACAATGTGCTAAGTCTATAAACTGCAAAGAGGAGTGGGGCTCGGTTCCCATCCTCTGGGGCTTACAAGGTAGCTGAAGTAAAACTCAAACCACAACGTGAAGTTAATAGTCACCAATGAACTACATAGTTAGTAAGCTCTCCACTGGTTCGGAAGAGGGCAAGAGTAACAAGACAGTAATCCTAAAGGAGATGGACTTGAGTTTGAGCTGGACCTGAAGTCAGGAGCTGGAGTGAGTAAAGGCAGAGGGGTGGGAACATTTGTGAACCAAAGTTCAGGTGGGGGTTACAGCAGGCAGGGTGGGGATAGACTGGGATGACTTTGAATGCTATGCCACTCTAAGGACTTCGGACTTGACTCTACAAGCAAGGTGGAATTATTAAGAGGTTTTGAATAGAAATGATGTGAGCTGAACAGTGCTTTTGAGAAACTAAATCTATCAGGGATTGGTGCTCCAAATAATTGGATGTGTTTCAGACTTGAGATCATGAGACCCTAACCCAGCCTGGGGACAATGGGATGTCTCCATCATACATTACATTCCTGTGAATACTTCTCAGGGATTCATATGAAATTGTGCCTCAATGTGCCTACCTGTCTCTGCACTGTAAGACAATGATATTGTGATCCTGTGTGCTGCTTGGAACCAGCCTCATTCCTTTAGCACCCCAGTTTGGACTTGGAATAGGCCCAAGTGTGGCCTGTACGCAAACCTCAAAGAATCCATGTGGCATAGATGTAAAAGCTGGGAGGAATCTTGGAGCCCTCCAAGTCCTCCTCTTCAACTTAGAAAGAAGCTAAATCTTGCTCATCTCCCCAATGACAGATTCAGCATGTGGCCTCAGATCTCCCTGTGCTCCAGCAGTGCTTCTGAGGCCAGTTCAAATTCTGCTTTGAGGTGTGCGTGTACCAATTCTGGTGCAATCCAGAAGCATTTTGGACGAATGAAGGAGTTGTTTATGTTTTCTTGCCCTAATTGAGATAGTTGAAGCTGCTCTCCCTTACTCTACACCAAGCCCCCAGATCTGGTACCTCCCTGAGTCCCTGACTTCATCTCTGCCAATTCCCTGCCTTGCTGCTTCCCCCACAACACCCTATTATTTCTTGCATCCTGCCATTGGTTGTGTTGTCCTCATTTTCTGAAGCCTTTACCTCCCGTCTTAGGCCTCATCACCTCCAGGAGACTCTCCATGGCCTCAGCCCCTCCCTTAGGTGGACCAAGCTTCCTCCTTGGAGCTCCATGCTACCCTGCATAGGGTTCAGTCACTGTGTCTCCATGATGTCTTACAATTGTCTATTTATGTGTCTGCCTCCTATCCTTCAACTGTGAGCTCCCTGAGGAAAGAAAGTGTGGGTACGCATCATTGAATACTCAGCGTCTAGCACAGTGCCTGGTACACGCTAGGTATTGAAATGTCTGATAAATAAATGAATGACAGTTGCATATTTGTCTTCTTGGTATATTCATTCATTTGATAAATATTTATTGAGTAATTACTTATAATCGAATTGGCGCTGTGTAGTTACACTTAAACATCAAAATAAACCTATCCTCTCAAGCTCCAAATTATGCATGCATAAATTATACATGTGAAGTGTTAACATGCACACGCAGCAGAGAGTGTGCATATCTACAAATACCAGAGCTAGCAAATGAAATAAACTGTGTGCCAGATGTCCCGAAATTTACAAAGAACCAAGAACCAAAAATGACAGTTAGCTCCGTAAGCCCAACAAAAGAAAAAAAAAAAAAGGAAAAGAGCAAAAAAGCAAAAGAACAAAGGAACCTTGAGCATAAGGAAGTGGCTATGGTTTTTTCTACATACTGAAGCCGGGGGTGGGGAAGAGTCATAAAACCTTTCTGTGCTGGACCGGTTCATGTTAAGTCTGAGTTCCTCAATCGCTGGTTCTCAGGAGCTGTTTGGAAAATTCATTGCCATGCACGAGTCGGGGGATTGGTTTTTTCCCACTGGAAATTGTTAATGGGGACTGCATTAGCGGCCCCTTATCGCTTTGCCTGATAGAGAGACAGCAGGTTCACCCAAACAATTCTGGAATCCTGATCACTGCCAATTAGGGGAGTATTGTCTGGCTGACATAATCAAGTGAGTATAAATATATTTATCGTGATTGGAATGGGGAAGGGAGACTGCAGAAAGATTGAGGCAGAAGCCGCCACCCACTGCCTGGCTCCAGCCTGAATCCAGCCCAGTTTGTCACCCTGTGCTCAGCTGATGCAGTCACTGGCTTTCTGAGGTGGAATGCACAGTTGAGAATTCAGGACTAGAATTGCTTCTCCCAGAGAGGAACTTGTCTTTCCTTAGTTTTCCTCCCCTCTTCTTCTCTTTTTTTTCATGCTCACTTCTGTGAAATCTGAAAAGAGAAGAAAAAGCAGATGTCACGGATCACGTTTAATTCTGCCCCTGCCGGCCATGCTGTCCCCACTTACCTTCTCTGTAATGGAAAGTGATGGTGAGGCACAGTGCCCCGACTGGACTCCCCACCCTTTCGGCCCACCGGCGTGTACAAGTTGGTCCGGCATTGGGTTTATTTCATTGTTGATTTGTGGAGCTTTGATGGGAATCCCTGTGATATGAATCAGCCCTGGGATTGAAAGACCCTGAAAAAAAGAGTCCCTTGCAGTGGGCTAGCGATGGGAGGAATTGCTCACATTTCAACAGCTGAAAGGGAGGCATGTTTAAGTCACATCTGGTGGCGTTCCTGTTGTCTGAATGGAGAGCAGGGTCTTTTTAAGCATCTGCCCAGATTTCAAAATGCAGGCGGCATCTTTTCTTCCCCAAACAAACGGTCAGGATTGGATACGAATGGCTGAATCGCATCATCATGGGAGAGGTCAATGACAAAACTCATCTCACGGCTGGATTTCAACCCTGGTCCGTCCAGGCCCAATCGATCCAAGGCATGACTTTTTTTTTTCCTCTTACCCCTGACTACTTGATAATGGCCATTTCCAGGGCCAAGTTGATTTCGGCTATTTTCCTCCATCCCCTGTGTGCTGCCCTGTCTCACCACTTGAGGGTTGAAGCCCCTTCCCAATGGCTACAACAGGGTAAGGGGACCCTGTCCTTCTGTCTCCTTCATCCGATAGTTTGTCTTCACTGCTGCAAATCGCTCTCAGGCCTGCCTTCCTGGATTAGACAAAAACTATTTTCTTACTGGTACTGCAGATACCACACGTGGACATGTAAGTAGGAAGGTGCAGGTCCACAAATATATAAGGAGCCCAGACAGGAGAAATGTCATTAGAGAGATCACTCTCCAGAAAGGCATCTGACCACCCGTGTTCCTGCCTCTTCCTGCTACCATTTTCCTCCTTCGGCTGCTCAGAAATTGTCAAGGCCAAACTCCTTTCACCCAGATTCCAGAAATGCACTTGTTTCCTTTGCTTTCCAAATCTTAATGGATGAAACACTTTTTTTTTTTTTTTTGTCTTCTATCTCTCGCCAGAAATATTGTTTTTTTGAGAACCAGAGCTCATTTATCTCCAAGGGAGAAAGAAATCCGTTCCGTGTTTACCCATTAACAAATTACCACTTACGTGAAAATACTGGGACTTCCCTCATTCTTTGCTAATAAATGGATTATTCACCTTGGTTGAACCTTGGCAGAGGCAGATGGATAGCCACTGTTCCCTTCAAGTTGGCTTAATATTCTCTCGTTGGCTTTTGTTTCCTTGAAGCACAGAGATTTCTCAGTGCTTTCTTTGCTTGATTCTGCTTTTAAGGAATGTGCCCAACTTCTTTGAGTCTGTTTAGTAAGCTGAACTGATTAAATCCCTGGCGTTTCTGGAGGAGCCTACTGTGTTGGGTGCTATGGGTTCCTCCCCACTTGAAAGTTGAATGGAGTCACCCATCTGAATACTAACTCCCTCCTAATCCATTGGTTTTTCTACTGTGTAGACAGGGGTATGAAGTAGCCATTTACCAAGATACAGTGCTATGTCATAAACCGAGCTTGAGTTCTAATGTTAGCAAGACCTGGTTTGTACAGTAATGCAGGCTTGGGCACGTTGCTGCTCTCTTTTGAGTCACAGATTCCTCATTATAGATGCTGATGGGAACAACAGAGCTGTCTGTTCATCTTTGCTCTTCTCCATAATGAGATAAAGCCAAGCAGGCAGTGAAGAGCCTGGTCTAACCATATAACATTGGTGCAAATTATATACGGTCATAAGAAGGTAATTTTTACCTGAGCATTTAGGTGACATTTGGTGTGGTATTTGATGCATGTCATTTAGTTACAGAGATAAAACCTCCTGAACACACGTAAAGCTCTTGGCCTGGTTGAACATTACATCTCACACATTTTTATGCTTTTTACTAAGGATACTTCCTGCTAGGAAGTTATAAAAGAGAAGATGGAAGTCCATTTAATGGCATGTAGCAATATCAGTTTCCTGGCTTTGATACCATACTATGGTGATGTCAGATGTCCCCATTGGGGGAAATGGGGTGAAGAGTACAGGGGACCTCTCTGTACTGTTTTTGCAATTTCCTGAGAGACAGAGGGAAAGAGGGAAAGAGAGAGAGAGAGGAGGAAATGATTATAGTGACATGAAAAAGGAGTGTTCATCTTGGCTTTCGTCCCTAGCTGGACAAATATTTACATTTTTTTTGTTTGTCTCTTTGTGTAGATTTTGTGAATAGTCATGGCTAAAAGCTAGCGTTCCCTTTTGTGTGGCAGAGAAGAAAGAAAATAGAATGAGCTGAGAACCCCTGCCAACATTATATTAGAAAGCCACCTACTTCCTGCCTCTCCTCACTCTCCTTACCTAAACAAACTTACCTTCTGCATCCTTGTCCTCCTCCTTTCCCATTCAAAGGCGAGATGCATCTCCTGCTGAACAAATAAACTCCTCCACCTGACCAAGGTGTCCCATCCCTGCCTGCTGTCTCCATAGGCTCAGTCCTGCTACATAATCTCTCTAGGTGAATTCCTTCTCACTCAGGGTTTTCGCAATCATCTATATTGGAATAGCACCCAAATTTATGGCTCTACCCAGACTTTTTTATTGAGTTCTACACCTGCATAGCCAACCCTTGACTGGGAGTCTCTACCTAGATCATTCACAAGCATTTCAAACACCCCTCTAATTATCTTCTCTTTCTGTATTCCCTTACCTCAGAAAATGCTACCAACATCTACCCTAATGCCCCCAGCAGGAACCCAAGAGTCATTCTAGACCTATGCTGTCCCAAGTACTTCAATGTGGCTTGTCCAAATTGAAATGTGCTGTAAATGTAAAATACACACCAGATTTCAAAGACTTAGTTTGGAAAAAATAATGCAAAGTATCTCAATTATATTTTATATTGATTTCAAATTGAAATGATAATATTTTGGACATATTGGAGTAAATAAGTTATTAAAAAATAATTTTCTTTTACTTTTTAATGTGCCACCAAAATATTTAAAATGGCATAGTAGCTGGCATTTGTGACTTGCTTCTATTTCTATTGGATGACACCATTCTAGACTCTTTTTTGTCTTTTAGCCCCCTTCCAACTGGTCATGATTCACAGTGATTCCCTTGAGTTAAGACAAGGGAAAATAGTGGTTAAGTGCACAGACTGAGTTTGAATCCTGGCTCCACCATTTTTTGATACATATGAACTTGGGCGATTATTTAACCCCTTTGAGCTTCACTTTCCTCATCTGTCAGCTGGATACAATAGCAGTTCTTATTTTGAGATTCTTGCATGCTTTAAATGGGATAATGTGTAAAGCACTTACTATGGAGATAAAAACATATGGAAAGACCCAGTGTCAAAAGAAAGAGCATCATTACTAGCCAAGACTACTGCAATGCTTTCTCCATCTTCAGTTCACCCTGCCCTCCAGTCCTTCATACTGCCATCTGATTAAACATTCCTGAATGCAAATGTTATCAAATTTCCAGTGACTTCCCATCATCCTTGGTATGAAATCCAAAGTCCTTGGCATGCTTTCAATGTCCTCCATGATCTGCCCCCAGTCCAATCACTGATTGCATCTCCTGCCCGTCCATGATTGAACCAGTTGGGTCCCCAACTTCTTGCACACACCATTCTCTCTGTGTGTCACATATGAGCTCTCTACTCTGCCTAGCTACTTGTCTGCAAGACTCAGTTCAACTGTCATCTCATTTGGGAAGCTTCCACTAATCCCTCCTGCACCTGTCTGCATCCTAGGCTAGATTAAGAGCCTGCCCTTTGGGTTCCTGAACCACTTGAGGTTTGTTTCATTTGTCACACTGATCTCACTGGTTTGGCTGGCTTGTTTGTCTTTCCTACAAGACTGAACTGTCTGAGGTCTTAAGATGGGCTGTCTAGTCCACACTGGATCTCCATGCTCTACACAGGGCTTGACACAGAGTGGGACACAGGGAATGTTTGTTGAACGAATACGCAAAGCATATGGATACTCCTGAGAGAGAGAAGGTGGGCAAGACAGCATTGTGAAGTTAAGCAGCAGAAAATCTGAAAACAAACCTGGGGAGAAATCACCAATTCCTGGAAGTACAGAGAGAGGAGGGGGAGAGAAGAATCTGTGCAAAGAGTCAGTAATGGAGGACTTGAAATGAAAGGCTATTAAAGAGAGAAGATCACTCAAACAACAGAACCGCATTTGGTACTGTTGGTGGTTTTATAACTTCCTCTGAAATAGTTCCAGGAAGAGACAAGGTTCTAGGATGGTGCAAATCATATAAAGAAAGGATAGGGTATTATAAGCCAATTCAAGGGATTGTCATCAGGACTAGATACATGGGTGGTACAAGTAAATGTCAACCTGGTGACTACATGATGGGACTAGTAATAATTTACTGGGGCTGGTGCCCAGGAATTTTTTTGCTGTGGTGCAGATGCCAAGCATGGAAAAATCTGACAAGTTATAGGCATGAGAAAGTAGATGGTGAATTTGAGAGTAAAAATGTAAAATGCCAGAATAATCACAAGAGAAATGTCTGAATATGTAAGAGAGTTTAGAAGATTTCTGCTTTACCACAAATACGGACTTCAAGAAAAATTCCCTTATAAGAACAGAAATTCCACTATATAAAACCTATTTATCAAAACACACAGTATTCCATGATATATAATGGTAA